TTGTGTGTATATTGCGCGTGTATTGCGCAGTGCATAATCACACGAATAGTTACATTGATTGAAACTAATTTGTTTAAAAATGAGGCTATTGCAGTAACAAGGCAGGTTCACATAAAATTCTTATGACATGACATTATTTTTTTATCTAACGAGCATTGGCGATGCAAAAACGGACTGTCGGTGCGTATTGTTTTTTCTTCTTCTTCCAATTAGCCCGCTATTTTTTAAAAAAGACGAAAACATGTTACTTGTTCAATTAATAAACAGTTTGTTTGATGACAAATCGCTAAAGATGAAATTGGCCTCCCTTTCTGTCATTGCGTTTTTTTTTTTTTTTTACGATATTCGACTTTTGCTCCTCGATTGTCGAATGGCATTTTTGGCAGAAATGCACATCCCTACGCGAGGCAAACTATTCTCAAAGACTTAACTTTTAGTCATTATTTGGGTAGCACACATATTCTGAATGCCTTCGGGAGAATTCAAATGAGCCATTTTAATCTAGATTAATCTAGATTAATTTCAATATTAATCTAGATTAATCTAGATTAAAAAAATTAATCTATGCCCACCTCTAATTTTTTTATTGTCAATTATGCAGATCTATTAAACCACTCCTTTGTTCTTAAAGGTATTATTTTATATAAAAACGGACAAAAAAATGATCAAGGCGATCACATACAGATTTTCATATTGTCTGTTAATTCCTATTATATTAATGGTAAAGTTTGTGTTCATAAACTTAAATATGCAATAAAACATAAACATAAACATTGTCATTGTTCTGCAAAGATATGTCATGCAAACCGTCACAGTGTGTGAGCAGAATCCTAATTTATTATTTATTTTGGAAACTATGGCTCCATTTATCTAAACTCTATACAAACAAAAACACACACACAACATGCAAAACACACACACACACACAACATGCAAAACACACACACACACACAACATGCAAAACACACACACACACACACACACACACACACACACACACACACACACACACACACAAAACACACACACAACATGCAAAACACACACACACACACAAAACACACACACAACATGCAAAACACACACACACACACACACACACACACACAAAACACACACACAACATGCAAAACACACACACACACACACACACACACAAAACACACACACAACATGCAAAACACACACACACACACACACAACAAAACACACACACAACATGCAAAACACACACACACACACACACACACACACACACACACACACCACACACACACACACACACACACACACACACACACACACACACACACACACACAAAACACACACACAAAACACACACACAACATGCAAAACACACACACACACACACACACACACACACACACACACACACACAAAACACACACACAACATGCAAAACATACACA